TAAAGATATAGCTTTACCGCGTCTTACCAAAATACGTAAAAAGATTATACTTGTTCCTACCCTGCCTGTCGCTCGGTATTGAGGGGATAAAACAAGGACTGGTCGGCTCGGAGTGAGTATCATGTGACTGCGGCGTGGGATGTCAGTGGGCTAGCACAATAAAACCGAGTCTTTTGCTAGCAGACAAGCAGACAAGCAGACAAGTATATGGTTGCACTAATCTTCAGCGCAACGTTTAACTCCATTTCACCTCATTACGTATACATCAGCAAACAATGAGAAGGTATGCATGGGTGATTGAGTTGGCTTTAACGCCGCTTTTAACAGTATTACAGTTATATAACAGCGTGTCAGCTGAATGTGGGAGAAAAGCCTGAAGTGATGCAGGTCTCAGACGTTTACCACTTCGGTGAAACCCACGAGCACGGGTATGGTGCTGACAAACATAGAAACATAATCGGGGTGAACCGGGATTCGAACCCACAATCATAGGTTTCTTGCGACGCCTTAGACGACTTGGCCACCCGTGCCCCCCGGTATACATGAAACACATTAACGAATGACGATATACGAAGGTAACCTAAGGATAGGACACAACCAAGCAAGCAAACACATCGTCAACCATCCACACAAGGGAGCCGTTCCCAACCATGACGTCACGTGCCATCAATCAACATGACATCGGTTGAAATGTGCACTCACGTTTTCCCTATTCCTTACGTTTAGAACTAACCGTTGGACAAACATACACAATAGACGTCTACTGTTGATGAAATAACGCGTCAGGGAAAAGCGTTTATGTCTCATTTCAGGTCTAATGTCATTCAGTTTGTTGGTGGAATATTCCTCTACATAAGTTGTACAGAAGGATGAAGTTGAACATGAACGTGTTCCCCCTTATGTATAAGAGGAGCAACACGTTTAGATTTTGTTATGGCAGACTTCACATGTGTTCCTAGAATTATTTTGTTTGTTTGTATGTTGCTTAAGGCTGCATTCTGCAATATTACGGCTTTATGACAGCGGTCTGAAAAAGTGTCGAGTCTGAACCAGACGATCAAGTGTTTTACATCATGAGCATCGATCCCCGCAATTGGGATTCGATGGCATGCATGAACCAAATCAGCGAGTCTGACCACCCGATCCCGTTAGTCACCTCTTACGACAAGCATAGTCGCCTTTTATGTCAAGCATGGGTTGTTGAAGACCTATTCTACCCCGGATCTTCACATGAATTATTACGTCACCTTTAACAGATGCATGTTTTGGACACAACTGTCTCAAAAGAGGTTCCAGGTTTTCCGGAAACATTGTGAAGGAGCGCAAGCTGGTGGTATTACAGGTGAAGTCACACATTCCACAGGTCATGACCTCAAACCTGCGAAATAACCCGTAGGAATTCCGGGTAAGAACACAGGTCCTCGGCAACCTGTACTTGTCGTGAGAGGCGACTAAATGGAGCAGGTGCTCAGGCTCGCTGACTTGGTTGATTGCATGTTATCGTATCCCAATTGCGTGGATCGATGTTCGTGATGTCAATCACTGAAATGACTTGTCAGGACTCGATAACTTAGAGATCGCCGTCATGTTGCTGGAATATTGCTGAGTGCGACATTAAAGAACAAACAAGCACGGAACCTGCGAAATTGTTGTATTTGGTTCTGTTCCCCGTTTACTCGCGCGCCTTCGTAACGTTCTAGAAACTATGGGGTATAAACCATCCCCCGCTATTCGGTAATGACCTCTGACAGAGCTAGTGAAGGCCTGTGCAAAATCAACTTCGGGATCAAACAGAATTGTACCGTGAATCGTAGCTTTGTATTGGCGACCTGTAGATGTCGGATAGTAAAAGCGAAACAGGACGAATAAAAGCAACAAATCCTTTTCCACAATTAAAAGAAATATCTGCTAAAAGCACAGTCGATTGTACGATTCCGACAACAAACTACATCTAACGGTCACAAAAACATTTTTCTTAAAGTTCGGAAAGCTGGACCTTTGTGTGTCTGGGGGGGGGGGGGGGGGGGGGGGGGAGAGTCTCTGAACTTGTTCTCCTAAGTATTATACAATGTTTACCGTGTAAAGAGCTTTAGTGTACGAGGTCATTTAGCCTGAACCATCTCTCCCTCTGCACACGAGTCGTAAAGTGGGGCAATGTTTCATGGCTATATTAAGAAACAAATGGAATGACAAAAGTCCTAGATGTTCCCTTAACGAGTGCAATGCTAACAGCAAAACATTCTTACGGTTAGAGCGTATAATGTAGCCATATTGTGGTTTCAGTGTCTTTTGTGAGTTTGTTCTTTGGCGAACAAAGTCCTGAAACAAAATATATTCCAACACATCTATTGTATAACAAACACTATACAAAAAGGTACAGTGTGATCCCACTAATTCGGAAAAGTATCTACAATAGGGAAAATCGTCCGCGTATATTCGGGGTCTGGATTGACAGGGTCTGCCCTCAGAACATTGAAATATCGGCCAGTATGCATCCACATCATTTAAATAGCACCAACAATTCAATCAGAGGAAAACCCTGCTTTTATGGCCGTGGTTTAACCGTAGGGGCTTGAACTTATATCATGAAGCGTTATCTAAAACGTTTTTATGAAACTGTTGAGATTTATGAATGAATAAAAGCTTTATTCAGTAAATAGGCCACCGGTCCTTTTTGCAATGACAGCACAAACGGTTTCCAAACGGCGTTGCGCCACACGTACATCACAACAGTATTATCATGGATTTTCAGCTATCAGTAGCAAGGAATCTCTTTCTTTTCTTTACAGCTAAGAAAATATATTTCGCCAAGGCATTAACAGTTGTAACACGAAAATAACTAAACAGTTGTATACTGGCAGAACTATATAGGTCAGGTGTGTTGCCTAGGATCATCGTAACAAGACAAACATGCTACTCGTATGCCACAACATGATTATACAAAGGGGACATAATCTTTCACATCTTGGAATACGTAACTTTCTACCTTGTGATATCATGAACATCGAAACTGTGTCAAACTGGACTATTGACGAGTGATAAAAAACTTTCAAACCCTGTTTGATCTTAATTCATCTAAAAACCCAAACTAGAATATCTACAAAGGGACTCTTGGTACAACAGATTGTCCATATCTATACATCTTAATTTAAATTCTGATAAAACATCACATAAGACACACTTACTATTCCAAATGTCACAAAAACCATAGCTGAACAATATCATTTTAAACTGTATATGCCCAGCAATCCAAGCCTTTCTCAGCAAGACGATAATGATATAAATAAACACGACCTGGGATATTTATGGGCCAAGATGTTGACCGTGTGAACCACGTGTCTCTTCATTTGGCAGCTTTGATGAGTATCGGTATACGCGATCCAATGGGATGCGCTGTTTTTGTGATCGCCATGGCATTTGTGATTTTGAATAAAACATAATATCGTATAATTTCATTTGCTTAATATAATTAGTCATTGGGTAGTACACCAGGAACTGTACACCTTATAACATCGGAGTATGTGAGATGTTTAAGTCCACAGTGTCACCAAAGGACGGGGCAGAACGTGTTCCGAATCAATTATTAAATTCCAGATTACACTATTTTTTCCTCTGCGTATAATTTCAGAGGTATGTGTATTGACAAAACTAGCCAATTAATGACAGGTTGCATAGACGTTTCTTTTGAGCTAAACCTTAGAATTAAACTATGTTTTATTTTGAAAACTTCCTGTTACGCGTGATATCTTGTTTTGGAATGTAAACATATGTAGTACATTGTGAAATGTTTATTTAATTTTAGTTCATAGGACATGTAATAGCAACCGGTATTTCCACCCGTGTTTGAGAATTGCCATCCCCTGATATTCTATATACAAAAAAATAGAGTATCCAAAAATATATGTTTTTGGTTTTGGTTTGGTTTGTTGTTTAACGCCGCACTCAGCAATATTCCAGCTATATGACGGCGGTCTGTAAATAATCGAGTCTGGACCAGACAATCCAGTGATTAATACCATGAGCATCGATCCACGCAATTGGGATCGATGACATGCATCAACCAAGTCAGCGAGCCTGACCGCCCGATCCCGTTAGTCGCCTTTTACGACAAGCATAGTCACCTTTTACGGCAAGCATGGGTTGCTGAAGACCTGTTCTAACCCAGAATCTTCACGGGTCAAAAATATATGATGACCATTGAGATAAACTGTCGAGGAATGCTTCCTTTTTTGTCTTCTTTCCGCGATTGGATTCATTTTTTGGTAGTTGAGGGGGCACTGTTCATCAAGAATTTGTTGTCCAATATGTTTTTACCTTGGACTAATTGGGCCGCCTCCGTGGTCTTGTGGTAGAGCGTCCGCCCGGAGAGCGGAAGGTCCGGGGTTCGATCCCCGGCCGCGTCATACCAAAAGACGTTAAAAGATGGTACTTGTTGTTACCCTGTCTGGCGCTCGACATTAAGGGGCTAAAACAAGGACTGGTCGGCTCGGAGTCAGTATACTGTGTCTGAGTGGGGTATTCATGTTAAACTGCGGCATGGTATCTCAGTGAGCTAGCACTATAAATCGGCATCAGTCCGGACTAGTACAAGCAGCCACACAAACACACACACGTACATGCACGTCGCTATATAAGTGCAATAATCTTGGACGCGACGTAAAACCCAATTTCACCTCACCTCACCTTGGACTAATTAAATACAACTCTTTAACGTGGAATTCTAAACAACAAATAGGTATGCAATTAAAAAAAGAAGGTTAAAATGTGGTGAAAGTTAGCGATAGCTTTGTAACCGTTCATGTTAAGAAATTACGTTTGACGATTATGTAAATAGGTCTAAAATGGACACTCACACATTGTGTTATGAATAGGCAAAGAAATCATGAAAGCATATTGAGAAATGGTTTCAGCAACTGATATCAAACAGCCTTTCGATTGCAAGCTAAGCGCTAAGGTTGACACGGGCTTGACCTGAAAAAGTGTTCGTCTATTTGTTTCAGTCACGGTTCGGCCACGCAACGGAGGGATGTTCTCTCAAATCTCCGACATGTTTCTTCACGTGCCAGGAACAGACAATCATCCGGGCAACTACGGCACGAACTCGGTTGGCAGGTGGTTCGCCATGCCTCCTGCTGCGCCTGCGTACTGCAACTGGTGGGTGGCTTCCGGTGTGAAGAGCACGAATGGCCGAGATCTCAAGGACAATATCACCGTGACTTGGATAGCACCTCAACCTTCGAGCTACACCTATCACAATCAATACTACGCCAACCCTTTGGATATAGAGAGACAAAGGCCTTATATATACTTTGTGTAGGTATTTTCTATTGATTGGAGTCGCAAATTTTATTTACGCCACATGTGTTCGTACTGGACAAAGTTGAGATCAGGAAGCCTCATGGTCAGTGCGATCGTTCGTCACACCAGATGAACCCTGATGATTTGTAGGTTCTTAATCCAAACAGATGTCAGTTTTCTAAAATTATATGGCTTCATTTCTTTACAACCTTAATTCGGCAATATTGATTATAACAACAGAAAAAACACTCAGAGCTCAATTATTCAATCCATGGTACACCCCTTTGGTTGCAGATGCCATCGCGATGGCGCTCAGAAACGATACCGTTTATAGAATGTCCACAATATAATAGCGCGGCATTTTGCATTCGGAATTACCCGAATACATATGCATTTATCGCATCTTATTCACGATCGCATTAATTTCAAGATTAACAGTTTTCATTTCGAGATACAAGAATCAGGTATGCTTGTGTGAATAGCTTTGCTCACCCGTGGCTAGGCTGTAAAGGGATCGACGCCTATTAGTTGATTAGAAAATTCGCCTGAAGCGACTCGCTATGGAGGTGTCCTCAGATCCTCGCGCAGAAAGATATCGTATCGGAATAAAAGATCTGATTTTTATCACATTGAGAATTCCCATGCGGGATATTGTTGCAATATTGCCACAAGTACAAATTTCCTCGAATCACGCAAAATGTGTTTCCAACGGAGATCTGGGGGTACACATTTAGAAGAGACTCATCTATAAGGATATACGCCAGGCCGTTATATCCAGTGCCTGCTCATGACAACACAATAATACTTCTTTTTTTTAAATATTTTTATTTCAATACATATATGTAACATTGGTACATTAGGTATATACATGTAGCAATTCATAGAATCTTAAAACATGATCAGATATGGGTAAGTACATCTATTGATTGACTGAGAAATTATAATAAGTAGGCTGATAATTCCTTCCATTTTCTGTCGAATCTCTAAATACTACTATTTTTCATTGCGATGAATTTTTCTCTTCTCTTTCAATATTTTTATGAAAAAAGGAAAGCATAATCGAGTTTTCTTAATGCTTGACTGGTGAATTTATTTTTTTGCAAGAAGAATTATTGGGTTGAAAAGGTAGTTGTTTTTGTTGTAGCAAAATAACTTATCAAGAATGGTAATATGAATATCATATGCAAGTTTCGAGTTTTGGTACATTTCAATTTCTAACCAAGATTCCTTTATAAAAACACATTCTACATACACATGGTATAAGTTTTCAGATTCAGAGAAAAAAAAATAAGCTTATATCATCATCTATTAATTCATTTTCCATAATAAAATTTTTGGTATATAGAGCTCTATTTATGAATCTGTACTGGAAATATATTAGTTTAACATCATTGGTACACAATCTACAATTAGAGAAAACGTTATTCCATAAAATGCTTTGATTAAGTTCATTTTCCCATTTATCACAATTCAGAGGAAACTTTGTACAACGAGAATTCGCTGTCTCGGACTGTCATAACTCTATATATTGCTTAAGACGATAAGACTTCTTGGTCCGGGAGAGACTTTCTTCTTATATCAGTCTTAGTTTCCGCTAGATTTCAAGCGGGTTGAATCAATACAGTCTAGCAGCCTACACTTATCCAATTCTCAGCTCTATCAGACTACACCCATCCCATTCTCAGCTCTAGCAGCCGACAATCATCCCGTTCTCAGTTTCAACAGACGACACTCATCCTATTCTCATTTCAAGCAGCCGACACTCATCCCATTCTCAGCTCTAGCAGCCTACACTCAACCTATTCTCATCTCTAGCAGCCTACACCCATCCTATTCTGAGCTCTAGCAGCCTACACTCATCCTATTCTCAGCTCTAGCAGCCTACACTCATCCTATTCTCAGCTCTAGCAGCCTACACTCATCCTATTCTGAGCTCTAGCAGCCTACACTCATCCTATTCTCAGCTCTAGCAGCCTACACCCATCCTATTCTCAGCTCTAGCAGCCTACACCCATCCTATTCTCATCTCTAGCAGCCTACACTCATCCTATTCTCATCTCTAGCAGCCTACACCCATCCTATTCTCAGCTCTTGCAGCCTACACTCATCCTATTGTTATCTCTAGCAGCCTACACTCAACCTATTCTCATCTCTAGCAGCCTACACTCATCCTATTCTCAGCTCTTGCAGCCTACACTCATCCTATTCTCAGCTCTAGCAGCCTACACTCATCCTATTCTCAGCTCTAGCAGCCTACACTCATCCTATTCTCATCTCTAGCAGCCTACACCCATCCTATTCTCATCTCTAGCAGCCAACACCCATCCTATTCTCATCTCTAGCAGCCTACACTCATCCTATTCTCATCTCTAGCAGCCTACACCCATCCTATTCTCAGCTCTTGCAGCCTACACTCATCCTATTGTTATCTCTAGCAGCCTACACTCAACCTATTCTCATCTCTAGCAGCCTACACTCATCCTATTCTCAGCTCTTGCAGCCTACACTCATCCTATTCTCAGCTCTAGCAGCCTACACTCAACCTATTCTCATCTCTAGCAGCCTACACCCATCCTATTCTCAGCTCTAGCAGCCTACACTCATCCTATTCTCAGCTCTAGCAGCCTACACTCATCCTATTCTCAGCTCGAGCAGCCTATACTCATCCTATTCTCATCTCTAGCAGCCTACACCCATCCCATTCTCAGCTCGAGCAGCCTATACTCATCCTATTGTTATCTCGAGCAGCCTATACTCATCCTATTGTTATCTCTAGCAGCCTACACTCATCCTATTCTCAGCTCTAGCAGCCTACACTCATCCTATTCTCAGCTCTAGCAGCCTACACTCATCCTATTCTCAGCTCTAGCAGCCTACACTCATCCTATTCTCAGCTCTAGCAGCCTACACTCAACCTATTCTCATCTCTAGCAGCCTACACCCATCCTATTCTCAGCTCTAGCAGCCTACACTCATCCCATTCTCAGCTCTAGCAGCCTACACCCATCCTATTCTCAGCTCTAGCAGCCTATACTCATCCTATTGATATCTCTAGCAGCCTACACCCATCCTATTCTCAGCTCTAGCAGCCGACAATCATCCCAATCTCAGCTCTAGCAGCCTATACTCATCCCATTCGCTGCTCTAACAGCCTATACTCATCTCATTCCAGCACTAGCCTTGTAGAATAATTAATGTTTATCTTCATACTTAAGCGGAGGGATAAGTTCAAGCGGGTTGAAGCAATACAGTCTAGCAGCCTATACTCATCCCATTCTCAGCTCTAACAGCCTACACTCATCCCATTCTCAGCTCTAACAGCCTACACTCATCCCATTCTCAGCTCTAGCAGCCGACACTCATCCCATTCTCAGCTCTAACAGCCTACACTCATCCCATTCTCAGCTCTAACAGCCTACACTCATCCCATTCTCAGCTCTAGCAGCCGACACTCATCCAATTCGCTGCTCTAACAGCCTACACTCATCCCATTCTCAGCTCTAGCAGCCGACACTCATCCCATTCTCAGCTCTAACAGCCTATACTCATCCCATTCTCAGCTCTAGCAGCCGACACTCATCCAATTCGCTGCTCTAGCAGCCTATACTCATCCCATTCTCAGCTCTAGCAGCCTATACTCATCCAATTCTCAGCTCTAGCAGCCTACACTCATCCAATTCTCAGCTCTAGCAGCCGACACTCATCCAATTCTCAGCTCTAACAGCCTATACTCATCCCATTCTCAGCTCTAACATCCTACACTCATCCCATTCTCAGCTCTAGCAGCCGACACTCATCCAATTCTCAGCTCTAGCAGCCTATACTAATCCCATTCTCAGCTCTAACATCCTACACTCATCCCATTCTCAGCTCTAGCAGCCGACACTCATCCCATTCTCAGCTCTAACATCCTACACTCATCCCATTCTCAGCTCTAACAGCCTATACTCATCCAATGCGCTGCTCTAACATCCTACACTCATCCCATTCTCAGCTCTAGCAGCCGACACTCATCCCATTCGCTGCTCTAACAGCCTATACTCATCCCATTCTCAGCACTAGCCTTGTAGAATAATTAATATTTATCTTCATACTTTCGGAGACTGTTCGTCCAAAGGTGTATGTGTTCTCTCCTCTAGGGTCTACGTAACGCCCGACCCCCCTGTCGACACCTTCGCCCCCGGTGCCGCCAGTCAGAGACGGTGGTTCTACGCGGCTTCTGTCCGGGTGGACAACATGGAGATAAAACAGCAACAAAGAAGTAAGTGATACTTGGAAACCTTTAGGCAGGTTCAAATACGGCATGACGTCATATCAGTGGATCTTTACAAAGTGAATATGACGTCATGTATACTTTTGTAAGAATCAAGATATATTATTTGGCTTTTCTTGTCATAAAACATATACAAGAATATCTCATCGAATGACCTGACAAAATTGATACGTGCATGAGTGGCGCAGAATGGAGAGCAGAAATACAAATTTATTCATGTCCACCCGTGTTAATTAATTGATAAGTTAAGGGAATAAATTATTCTTTGAACGGAAAATAAATTATAAGCATACTAATGAACAATATTTTCAACTAATGTTTATCGTCACTGGTTCTAGTGTTCTGTGTTTCTGTTTCACAGCGCGTGCCGCCTATATGCAAAGCCTTCAACAATGGAGCAGTTTCATGGAATCCTTTAACTAGGTCAGGCATCGCCATCCTGGCTAAAATGGTTCAGTGGCACAACAGAGTTTAACGATTGTTTATGATTGCACATGGCCTGAATTCACAAGACTTTTCAGATTACTGTTTCCCACAATTCTCCGAACTGCTTCCGGTAAACACGTCATCATTTTACCAAACGTTGTGAACTTAACCTACAGAATGGGACCAGGATTTCGTTACCAGGGATGTATCATTGGACCAGACTCGTCTATCAAGGCACAGCGGTGTATAAACATTATAGTTGAAGTGTTGGATTCAGCACGGACCATCTTCTTCTACCAAGCGCAAAACTGGAACCTGCCATGAAAAAGATTATTATTATTTCCTGAAAGTAATTACACACAAAAAGACGTTTTGTCCATTCGTCGAAGGTTGATTATTTTTTCTCACTTAATCATAAAATTTTCATATATGCTACAATATATAAATCTTACAAACTGTGAAATATATAAAACGTATGTATATTTTCGAAAAAACGAACCGGTTATGTAGACCCTATCCGAAGTTGTCCTCCCCCTTTTTCATGCTCATATTATTTCCCATCTTTCCATCTTCCTCACGTTTAAGTCCGCTCTCAGCAGTATGTTGGTCGAGTCACGGCTTGACAGCTTAATGTGAGAGGAAAGTCCAAAATACTACATGTATTTGACATTTTCCACTTTGGTGAAACCCACGAGCACGGGTACTAGGATTGAGTGATTTAGCGGGTTGGGTTTAACGCCGCACTAAACGTTATTTCAGTTAAATCACGGCGTGTCGGCTTAATGTGGGAAGAAAACTGTAAATACTGCAGGTCTTAGACGTCTACCACTTTGGTGAAACCCACGGGCATTGATGTGGTGTTGACAACCGAAGAACCATTATCAGAACGAATCTGGGAATCGAACCCACCATCATTCCATTTGGTCGATGAAAACTCGCAAAGTATCTGATAAAACAAAAGCAAACAAATTATTCCGTCATTTTACAACCCAACAATACCCCCGGGTACCCATACAACAGCTGGGGAGGCAAGGAACGGTGGAGAGACATGTCCTAAAGTACAGAACGTTTATATGCTTGCCATGGTGACGGTGAATGTTATTGGCAAGGTTGTGGTTGATGTTGTTGCCAAAGTGAAAGTTTGTATTATTAAACGCATTTCCAAAACACTTCTCGGAGTCTTCTTTGCAGTGGCAGCTTGTAACTAAGGTAACACGACTCGACTATAAACCATCCTCGATCACACATCGCCATTCCTGAACCTATTCGTTATCACTGCTTCCATTTTAGCCCGATTCGAAAGTCGCAACGCTAAAACAAACATCCGACCAAATTTCCTCGACGAGCCGGAAGAATCCTGTGCTGAATTAAAATATGAGAGATGGGTTGGTGACGTCACTTGTGAAACGCAGCTGTGGTTACACCTTCCCGAGGCAAAGGAGTTAACTGGCTTATCAAAAATCCAGTTTAAACCTTTGCCGAATCAGGCTGGAATTTCTGGGCTCGATCGTGGCGCCACCACGACTTGTCCCTTCTATGTCCCTCCTATTGACCAATCAGATTCCACCTCTCATATCCCTTGCATTTGCTTCAAACAAAATGGCGGCTCCCAGTGAAGACGATCTGATGGATAATCAAGATCTATATTGTAATAAACGGTTCTTACTTCGCGAAGTGCATAAAATCACATGAGCATCAAGAATAAAAATATTATATATTATAGTATATGACATTACAGAGTTATACATTGAGTAGCACGTCATGTGGTATACTTATTAGGTGTTACATACCTATACAGCGGACAACAAATTTAAGTTGGCTACAGGTGTCTCACAATGTTTACATATGGTGAAACGGGCAGGCTACATTTGCCATGTTATTAACTATAAAAGTGTGAAGCTAAATCCTAACAGCACATTAGTGTAAATTGTTCATGTTAAAAAAAATTAACTAGACAATTCATTTGCCAAATTTTTCCATTTTCTGTCAAACTGTCATATTGTATTGTTCTTGTGTGCAATTGATTTCTCTATCCGAAATATATCAAGTCTTCAGAAACTTTTCAAGTGACAATTTATTTTTCTTAACACTTGATACATGAATAGTGTTGACGCTAAGTTGACGGTACACATGCACAGTTAACTCCCTTGCCTCGGGGAGATGCTCTGGTGACGAATTGGGACCAGGATATTTATCATAACAGAAAGGAGATGAATACACTGGATAATCGATTTACGGGATTCAAGACAAATATGACATACAGACACAATCATTAGCCAGGCTTTGGTACATACTACTGCCTGCCTGTCCTTCGTGGAGGCTGGTACGTTCATCTCATATCCGATGGGGAGGGAGAGTGTGGAGTTTCACACGGCTTCCAGCAATGTTCCAGCAATATCACGTCGGGGGATTCTATTACACCGATGTTCGCAAACGAACCGGGTCTTGAGCGTGACGGGCGAACATTACCCAACTACCCCTTTTATATGTAAGTGTTGTAGTCCAGAAGCAACAACAACAAACAGTCGCGAACGTGCCATTTCCCATTCGGCAACGACTACTACAGCTACTAATACTACGGCTACTAGTTATACTACTATTATTATTACATGATCATGAGTTGGCTTATTACCACTGCGTCGGTTGCGTCGACAAAAGAAATGTTGTGGCCTGAGTGTTTACGGTTTAGTGAACACGGTTGCCGCCTTGCATGCTTATAAGTAACAAATAGGTGGGGCCCCATAAAGGTCACTGCCAGTTTCAAGGAATGTGACATTATGACTGGCTGTAAATAAAGGATTTCTCAGTCGGTGAAGTCGGGCCTAAGTGTACATGAAACAGGTAGGCCGCCAAACTTTAAGGCACCGGTCATTTATTAGAGAGGGACACCAAGGGAGGCTCACCAAAACATAAGACAAGGGAGGGCTTAGAATAAAATAAACATATTTCGGGAGGGTCATGGACATTGTAATATATAAAGTGCTTTTGCATTTGTCTTTTCGGGAAGGGTCTCATTAAAGGAGCAAAGTGACATGGGGAGGGTCATCCAAAAATATGACAATAATTAGGGAGGGTCAATATTTTCTGTATATTAGGGACCGACCATTTCATATTCTGGAGTGGGGCTGGAATTGTGTCTGGAGATAAGATATTTTTCAGTTACAGCTGCAAAAAACCATTATGTTAAATTTAAAACTGTGAGCCTGAAGACTTTTGAAATTATAAAAAAACAAGTTTTTTTCCAACAGTCTTACGCCTAAATATTTTTTTCAAGAATTTTACGGGAGAATTTATTTTTATCGATAACATCCAAACCCTATCGTGACTAGCATGCTTCAAATAGCATGCTTCGGTTGTGTTTAGTCTCAAAGTTTCATGATCGGAACTGAATAATTGTTGGTGGTGCATGTATCTTCCTATCCATTTTTACAATATTTGCTGCAATGTCACGAATTATTCAGTATGAATACTTATTATTACAATAAAAAGCGACAAAACCATTTCAATAATCACAAGAAATCTCTAACAAAAGCAGACTCCTTGGTACGATTCCGACTATATCATTAGCACGTGTTAATGAATCACTATCAAAAGTGATGAAGCTAACTCAGTGTTCCCGAAAAGCAGCAGCATCCTGCCCAAACGGTGTCACCCGTCGCAAACACAATTGTTCACAAAATCAATTGCTCACATGAACTGTTTGTTGTTTAACGCCGCACTCAGCAATATTCCAGCTATATGACGGCGGTCTGTAAAATAATCGAATCTGGACAAGACAATCCAGTGATTGACATCATGAGCATCGACCCACGAAATTGGGATGGATGACATGTATCAACCAAGTCAGCGAGCCTGACCACCCGATCCCGTTAGTCGCCTCTTACGACAAGCATATTCGCCTTTTACGGCAAGTATGGGTTGCTGAAGACCTATTCTACCCCGGAATCTTCACGGGGCTCACATGAACTGCATAAAAATTGAAAAAGTACAAACGTGGAGAATATGTGCATCATCAGATCAAACATTATTCATTCATTAAGGTAATACAAGGGTCCCCCCATCAACATAGTATTAACACAAACAGCTGAGTGAAGTCCCGAGTAATGCGACATCATCGTGTTACGCACTTTTTCTGCGGCTACACACATTATTTCACCTTCATAAGCACATAAGTTTTTCAACCGGGTGGTTCTGTGGCCTTTCCAAAGAGGTCGGTTTCGCACCATCTTGTCAGATGTATTTGACGGATGTTGTTTGTTTGTTGTAAACGCCGCACTCAGCACTACTCCAGCTATATGTGGGTATGTACATAATCGAGCCTGGACCAGACAATCCAGTGATTGACATCATGAGCATCGATCTAAGCAGCTAGGAAACGATGTCATGCATAAATCAAGTCAGCGAGCCTGACCACCCGATCCCGTCAGTCGCCTCTTACGACAAGCATGGCTACTTTTGTTGTGCTTCAGTTCGTTGTGGCATTTCGTTGCAGTTGAACAGTTCAACCAACAACAACACACACAAAAATACCCACGCCCTGTAGATCTTCTGTGGCGTTCCTTTTCTGTTTTGTTACATTTGGTCGTAGCTGCCATTTGCGGATTCCAGGTTTTCATTAAAAAATGGAATCAAATGACCTCCTATTTATGCTTCACATCTCATTTATGTGCTAATGTCTTTCATGTACATTGCATATTATACTCCTCAAAACAAATTAAACAACACCCACAATTGTTGCAATACCCACCACCCATGCCAGATGAACTGGTCAGATGCCTGTTTTTTTAGAAGATTGCACGTTTTCTCAACAAGTTTGCAACACGAACTAAAGTTAATGATGATGAGTTCAACTGAAATAGTGATTAAAAGGAAACACTCGTTACAGCAACATCGTCTACGATGGCTGTGGAAAGCACAGGTGTAATTTGCCACATGAAATACTGGGAAAAACATAACTTGCCTCACAGTTTACCATGAAAATAATAATTGTTCAATGAATCTCCTGAAAACTCTGCCAGGGCACAGCATCTAACATTGGATATGCAGTCTAACTGCTTAAAAAACTGAAGCGGTAAGCATTGTTATTCCCCAACGAATTCCCTAACGATTCGCGTCTATTGTGAATGGTTGGTTAATGCTTTTCACACACGCTTCCTAATTTGTTAAAGCGGACGTCATCGTGGCGTGTTGCAGAAATACAAGAATGGCAAATTGGAAAAAAAGAGAATAGGTCTTAATTTGAAAGACGTCTTTGAAGGAACGGCAGTATTAAGGAAATGATTATGCATTATGTTTATTGGTGCTATTTCTACTTCATCCGGATGTGCGGCAGTTTGGCGGTACATGATTCACAGATGCATTACTCTATTGACCGGGTTCGTGAGTGAGTGAGTGAGTTTAGATTTAACGTCACATCGGCAGTATTTCAGCCATATCGTGACGAGAAGTACAGTAATAATACACATAATTATACGAAATAAAAACCTGTCGACGAAGGACAGTAAAATAACTAGATTTATCACAGATGATGTCTAAAACTAGTAGTTAGCAATAAAAATATAACATCATACGAAACAGTACAAGATAAAAATGAGCCATAGATCGCCAGCCACTGAAGAGAGATCACCATGCTAGGGTCCATGGGGACTTACAGTATTTTGCTACCTGCATGGACCCCAGCCGGATTTACATCATCCCTTCAGCTGTTGGCGATTATTGACAAATTTAGCAAACATTAAAATAACACATATGCTACGATTAAAACCGTGGTATAAATAAATATACTTTGAAAGACGTGGTCTTACATACCCTCTTAGGGGGACAATAATTTTACACTACTTCAACCCCCTTCGAGGATATAGCCACTAACGATCTCAGTTATTAATTTTATTCAACCAATTATAAAAAACACTGATTATGTACAGAATATATCATTCAAAATTTATGCAATAATTCAATTTCCTTTAAAAAAGCAATAATTAAATGAGAACTAATAGTATTAAAAAGATCCTTCATAGATTTAACCTTGAAATATTTATCCCTTGTGATGGAAAAATCAATGCAGTCAAGCAGGACATGCTTGACCGTGATTCTTTCATCACAAGGGATGCAGAATGGAGGATCCTCACCTTTTAAAATATATTCATGAGTGTAACGTGAATGGCCAATACGACATCGTCTTAAAATGACCTCTTCAAATCTGGACTGACAACCCAAGTAGGTAGAACCGATATTTGCTTTTATTGCATGTAATTTATTTATACCCACTTGGGTGTCCCACTTCTTCTGCATTAGATCTCTGATGTAAGATCTAATGACAGGTTTATAATCACTGTATGGTAAAAGAAGTGGTGTCACAGATTTGTTGAGTGCTGCTTTTGCGGCAGCATCAGCCAGTGTGTTACCAACAATCCCAACATGGCTTGGTAACCAACAAAAAACCGATGTCATATTGGCCAGTCGCAAGATCATTAAATAACTCAAGAATTTCAATTAAAAATAGATGTTTACATGACATATTTTTAATAGCCTGAAGGCACGAAAGTGAATCTGAAAAAATAATGAAGTCTTTATATTTGGATTTCTTCTTGATATATTTTAGTGCTGTTAAAATTGCGTGCGCTTCTGCTATGAAAATGGAACTTTTAACGGGTAATCGTGAAGATACTGTTCTGTTGACCGGGTTCGATTCCGGTTGCTGCAGGTGTATACCTTTGGACCTACTACCATCCTTGTAGGAAATACTGTATTATGGGTACCTGGGCGAGTGGCGAAGGTGCGCACTTTGTGGATTTCCTTAGGATCTTATCCCGAAAGCGTTAAATAGAATTAAATCTGGAGTGCTGGGCATGGAAGAATCACTGTTTTGGTTGGTTGGTTGGTTTTTTGTTTTACGCCGCTCTCAGCAATATTCCAGCTATATGACGGCGGTCTGTGAATAATCGAGTCTGGACCAGACAATCCAGTGATTAATATCATGAGCATCGATCCACGCAATTGGGACCGATGACATGCATCAACCAAGTCAGCGAGTCTGACCACCCGATCCCGTTAGTTGCCTTTTACGTCAAGCATAGACGCCTTTTACGGCAAGCATGGGTTGCTGAAGACCCATTCTACCCCGGATCTTCACGGGTCCACTGTTTTGGTGTCTTATGGAGCCCAGTGGGAGAAGCAGTGTGGGGACGGTCGGGTGTCATCTCACTGAAAACACATCATTGATGGCGAGCTTTTGCTCATACCACATAGCGAGGCCTTAGTATTTAGCAGGTGTATCGCCATGCACTGAAAGTTCGAAAGGTCGAAAGTTCGAGAAGAAAATTGGTTTGCTAGACTTGAGAATTGAGAATGATCTTTTTTTTAAATTTCATAGTCCGTAATCTCTACTGACAGCATCTCAGTCCTATAACATTGATCACAAATCATATAATGACAAATAGACATTATATATGTACATCAATATTAAAAGCATTACTTTATCCAGTTTCAGTGTTTACCAAGTCGCCCCTACGTGAGGTGAAATAACCATTTCGCTATTCTCACTCTGCAGTAACGACTGGATACTCTTCCAAGATGTCTTACAATCTTTTGAACAAATAGCGTTCTAAATATTTCTGTTTTCTCTACGTTTCTCCCAGCGGAGAAGATGTAAGCATGAATGTTTGATCCTATTTAATTGTCTGCATTCGTTGTAAAACCACATAGGATGAAGTTTTTCAAATGCGTTATTTCTTGGTTTTATCGGTCTTTCAAATTACGATCCAGCAAAATGAAACAACTGGGTTAATTTCACCGCAGCCGCATTTCCATGTCTATTTAACAGTCCATGCATTGCTTAATAATTACTTGAGCACGATCACTGTTGGAATAGTCGGTAAAGGTTCACTTCAACACTCCATATGGATCGCCTCATACTACTGTTATTTCCATGTTCAGTCTTTGAATTACCCGACATAATATCATCACTTTACACATACAGTAAACTACGGTTATAAGGAACACGCTTATAACGAACTGGCGGATATAACGAACTGGTGTTTAGGTCCCTGCCATTTGCTGTATATATGCTGTATATATGCTCATAACGAATTACGGTTATAACGAACTAGAATTTGTGGTCCCTTTGAGTTCGCTATAACCGTAGTTTACTGTATTCACAACTGGCAGGAGATTGGAATGTGGTCACTGGCCATCGCAAACATGTCAACAATTGCTGGTAAAATATTTGTTGAAACAATAAAATAATTAATCAGACTAATTTCATGTTGCACCAACATATGTAAAGGCGCCTACCTTGTCCCCAGATTTTCTGTCATTTACAATGTGAAAAAATTGTTAGATTTCTCATCTTGTGGTAATCTTTGCGTGTGAAAAGAATCCACATAATATAATTATCCCAAGTTGAAAAGGTCAGTATCATCTTCACTATAATCATCTAACAGCGCTTCTCTCGCATCAATATCACCACACATAAGTACATCCATGGTACCTTCATTTTTCATGGCGATTGTTGCAACTTTACACTCTATAGCATCCATCCCAATTTCTAAACTGTTTTCCTGTTTCTCACTTCGCCGGGGAGTATAAACTCCGTCTAATACTATTGGATCTGTTGTACCAATCATCAGTTTTGCCAATCAATATGTATCCTTTCAAAATGCTGACAATGAGTGAGTGAATTTGGTTTAACGCTGCTTTGAACAGTATTCCAGTTAAATCTCAGGTCAGCTTAAATTGGGAGGAAAGCCTGAAATGACGCAGGTTTCAGACGTTCACCACTTTGGTGAAACCCACGGTGCTGACAAACCTAGAAACATAATTGGGGGAACCATCATTTGAACCCACAATCACAATCACAGGTGTCTCGCGTGCCCAAGGGACGCAACTCTGACCATCGAATTGCGGCTATAAGACAATTGGGACACACTGCCCTAAAATCTTGAGAGATACTATTTCTAACGTGGAGTGATTGAGTGATTGAGTGAGTGAGTGAGTATGGTTTTACGCCGCTTTTAGCAATATTCCAGCAATATCACCGCGGGACACCAGAAATGGGCTTCACACATTGTACCCATGTCGGGAATCGAACCCGGGTCTTCGGCGTGACGAACGAACGCTTTAAACACTAGGCTACCCGACCGCCCCTTTAATATAATGATACCTGGAGAGCTACCTCACCTGAGTATCTCCCACACTGCTACATGCACATAAGTCACACAAAGACATACAAAACAAAATAAAGTCTTAATTTCATCAGTATCATACCGGTATGTCACTGTTCTGCCATGCAGAAAATGTCAAACTTCACCAGAAAATTATACCAATCTGGATCACTTACATTTGAGTACAGGCCTTATAAATTCAAGAACAAATATTTAATATAGATGTTAAACAGGACACATTTATTGTCTCAATATTGCTGTGAGGTCACACTACATGTATATCACAGTGACTACAGATTAGTCCCAAGGCTTGCTGCCAGTGGTGCCCTCGATCGTCACCCTCACTCAGTACTGGCGATTGGTGGAGCGACCCACCTTGTGCCCCCTTGTCTCAACATGTCGACACCTGACAAGACGAAAATTCTATCGTTAATAATCAACTTATCGTATGACATGTAATGTTTGCCCTTTCCTTGGGCCTGTGACAGAACTGGCAGCAGATTTGACCCGAGGCTTCAAACCCGTTCTGTTAAAATCATTTACCTCACTTAGTGAACCATTAACTCAGTTTAAATTGAGCGGCATAAAACTGAGCTTTATGTTTGAATGAGGTAAACTTTATAATAATGGGTTTAATATTGGACTTGAATGTAAGCAAGGACTTATCTGTGTCATCCACTCCCGGTATGTCCTGCAAGAATTTATGGGCTGTCCTCTCACTTGCCCCCCAGAGCTCTCCAGGTCGACCCTCTAACCAAAGGAGTGAGTGAGTGAGTATGGTTTTACGCTGCTTTTAGCAATATTCCAGCAATATCACGGTGGTGGACACCAGAAATGGGCTTCACACATTGTACCCATGTCGGGAATCGAACCAGGGTCTTCAGCGTGACGAGCAAACGCTTTAACCACTAGGCTACCCGACCATCCCTCTAACCCAAGGATGACATTGATCAGTCAGCTCTGGGCTTCAGATTTGTCTTTTAGAAACTTTGCTTCTAAACTGTCAAGCCGTTCTTTTAACTCCCTATTTTCCTTATTATTAATAATTACATTAGATGAAGATTTCTCACATTACTTGACAATAACTGTATCTTAAGTTCCAATTATAACCATACATGGTGAAACAAAACACAAGCAACATGAGGAGACAATATAACAAGACGTTTAATCAAGAAAATATTCAATAACAATGGCGACCTTGTAGAATTATGTCCTGAAAATTTAACTAATGAAAAAGAAGAAAGTGAGAGATTTTACACAGATGTTCTCATTTTTTCATCAATATCATTCCAACGTTCAACGTTAAGACATACAAGTCAGTCTCCATGTTATCAGCCCTTAGATGCCATCAGATTTTCCACGACCATTGATTCACACTTAATTGTCCTTCTTGCACACATCCAAACAGTATCTGTAAAATGTAATTTGAGTCCACACTGTCCATGGGAATACTTTTTTTTAAATTTGGTCCCGAAAAAATAATCCCCCCCCCCATCCCCCATTTTATACGAACCCCCAACCCCATGCCAAAACATATATTTCAGTGGACATGCTCGATTTCCTGAAAAAAATGTGCTGTGAAAAATTTCATCACAGAAACACTGTGTGTTTTGAAATTGACCATAAAAATACCCTGTCTCTAACAGTCCCAGTAACCTTAAACAGTCACCTTCCCCCACCCCAAGATATTTAATGATGGGAACCTTAACGTATCAAGGCCACATACCTAATCATGTATAAACGAGAAGATGTGATCGGTCTCATACATCAGTTCCTGCATCAACCAAGTTGATACAAATAATCTGTGTTCACCAAGGCTTTCTGTCGGAGATGGTTTTATCACTATGGGGAAACTCAACACATATTTTTTTAATGTGGAATTGAACCTGGATCTTTGATGTGACAAGCTAACACTTTAACCACTGGGCCACCCACTGTCCAGCCTTCCCCATGGGTATCTCCATCATCGTTAGTCTCCTAGCAACAGTCTCCAAGCAACACAGCAGTCTTTCTATCATCTCTTCTCTTGTCGGACTTTCCGTTTCTCCATCTTAGCTAGATATGCTTGAGCTGTAGAAGAAAACAGTTCTTTTGTAAATTAATAATATCACCAAAGTGTTTCAGCTTATTCAAGATAGAGGTGAGGTAAAATGGGGATTTGTGTGCGCGTGTGCGTGCGCGTGTGCATGCATGTGTGCACAATTGTGTTTAATGTGTGCATGTGTGTGTAGTCTGGACTAATGCCAATTTTATAGTGAGAAACCATGCCACAGTTTAACATAAATACCCTCTCACACACACTGACTCTGAGAGGACCAGTTTTCGTTTCATCCCATCAATGCCAAGCCCCAGGCAGGTAAACAACAAATTCCATCTTTAAACGTCTTTAAAATACAGTTAACAGTTTACCGTTTATAACCAGGTAATAACAAGTCAAATTAGGCTTGGACCGGTAATTCATGTGACTGCCAGTCCCTTTTGACCAGATTAAAAAGTATCTTATTAATCTTTGTTGTTGAAGAAAACATTGGCGATATTTATATAAGTATATTTTTCAAAGAAGGTCAGCCTGTCTGTTACCATCAGGGTTTCCCCTTGTATTTTTTGTGCAAGGAAATAACATTTTGCTTTGGTTCAAGGTTAAATATATATATTTGTAGCGACTAAATCTTTAAATATTAAAAAAAAAGACAAGAGAAAATTGTGAATGAACTTGTATTTGTTTGTTTGTTTGTTGCTTAAAGCCGCATTCAGCAATATTCCAGCTATATGACGACGGTCTGTAAATAAATGAGCCTGGACAAGACAATCAAGTGATTGACATCATGAGCATCGAACCATGCAATTGGGATATGATGACATGCATCAACCAAGTCAGCGAGCCTGACCACCCGATCCCTTTAGTCGTCTCTCACGACAAGCATAGTCGCCTTTACGGCAAGCATAGGTTGCTGAAGACCTATTCTATCCCGGATTTTCGCAGGTCGACTGAACTTGTGAATAATGTTTAGATCTAACTAAGTTACTTCAGAGATGATGTCATTGCATTGAACATGATGTTGAATGAATTAAAACCAGGTAATTTTCAAACGTTTTTTTGGGTGAAAGTTGGGACAGTAATATCAGGGGGGGGGACTTGCAATTTTTAGATTTTAGAGTTTTAGAGTTGCCAGTCCACCAGGATTAGCAGTTTCAAAATCCAGCGGGAACAGTGGTAAAACACAGTTGTGTTGAAGTTGAACGGACTTACGTAAATAAGGTTCGACACAACCCAAAATGATGAATAAAGAAGGAATTCTCAGTTTGCCACATCAAAGTACAACACAACAGTGTTTGACTGTATCCTTGAATACAGATCTACATCTGCCTTGTTTGTAAACAAACATGGCTTATCATTCACACATGTCATTCACACTCTAGCATACTTAATCATGTTGATCACAATTAGAAAGAATTTTTTTTTTTAAATAACATAAAAACACTAGCAGATAATTCTATTTTTAAATCCACACTTAATGAACATCATGAAGAGAATAAAACATTCTCTGACAGATGTAACACGGACCCTTAAACATGACTGACAGGTTTTGGGAGCATGATAAAAAAACAATAATTCCTAAAGTTAATTCCTAATTTAACTTTTGAGACATACCCCCTTAAAAATTATAAAAGGTGACTAACAATGATTTGAGATTGTTTGGTCTGGTGAATTCTACTTCACAATCATCAAAAAGCAGAGATTTGGGGTTTGTCAGGTTGACTTGCATTTTCACTCAACACTTGTATACCCACAATGGAGATTGCAGTAATATTTGGAGCAAAAGTATGATGACTAAAGTTGTTCACGTTATATATTGACTTCAACTGTAAATCCCTGAAAAGCTGACTTTGAACTGCTCCCTACATATGTCAAAAGTGATGTTATGTGCAATACTAACTTGATTCCCTCCTTCTATGGTCACCGTAGAGACGAGAATTCCTGAAGTTTGCAGCAGATTGAGATATGGCCATTCTCTTTCTCAGGTCTTTCAATGGCATAGCCTTTATGCCAGTCTCACTAAAACATATACAGAAAGTGTCATTTGGAGTCAATTATGGATAAATATGCAAATTAAATAGGTCAGGTAGCTACTACTTTCAAACAAACATGGCGTCGCCCTTGTCTATCGGCGCCCAGGTCAGAGCTGACCATGTGTTTGTTATCATTATCAAAAATAAATAGTCTAAGATACCAAAAGTCAGTGTCTGAGAAGCAAGTGTCAGCTGGAACTGTATCGCCTGTTGTCACGGTCTGACAAATTTTTGACCTTTTGACATAAACTAATGCACACACACCAGGAGTGAGTGAGTGAGGTGTTACACCGCTTTTAGCAATATTCCAGCAAATATCACAGCGGGGGACACCAGAATTTGGCTTCATACATCGCACTCTTGTTGGAAATCAAACCCGGGTTTTCGGCATGACAAGCGAACGCTTTAACCACTAGGCTACGCGACCGCCCCACACACACCAGGAAAACTGTCTGTGAGGGATGAGATTGAGAATACTTTTTTTAATGACAAAAATTTAAGAATGACATTAAAAGAGGTTATCAAACCTGTGCTTTTGGGGAAGTTAAATATCCTGTATTGGGATCTGGGAATGAACATCGTAATTAGCGAGCCTACAATTGCTATTAAAATTAGAATGAGTGAGGGAGCTGCTTTTAGAGTGTGTGTGAGTGAGTGAGTTGGGATTAACGCCGCTTTTAACAGTATTCCAGTTATATCGCGGCGTGCCAGCTTAATGTGGGAGGGAAGCCGGAAGTGATGCAGGTCTCAGACGTTTACCACTTTAGTGAAACCCCACAAGCACGGGTATGGTGCTAACAAACGTAGAAACATAATCAGGGCGAACCGGGATTTGAACCCACAATCATAGGTTTCTGGCGTGCCCAAGGGACGCAACTCTGCACAGTGAATTGCCCCCCGCTGCTTTTAGAAATGGGCTTCACACATTGTACCCATGTGGGAAATCGAACCTGGGCCTTTGGCATGACCAGCGAACGCTTTAACCACGAGGCTATAACACCACCACTCCGGTAAACTATTCAAAATACTTTCTAAATTGTCAGATCTTACCTGTCAACAAAACCTGTCTTTAGAGGTAGATAGTCTTCTGTTTCTTCAAACACAGTTGACTGTTTCTTTATACTTAGATCTGTCCATGAAATAAGAAGAGGTGGTGAGGTGAAATGTGGTCGTCACATTCAAGATTATTGCACTCACATAACAATGTCGATGTGAGTGTGCGTGACTGTACTAGCCCTGATCAATGCCTGCTATATAGTGAAAGCCCAGTGAGATGCCATGATGCAAGTTAAACAGATACCCCACTCCAACACATCTAACAGTGTTCCTGTTTACTGGTAATTACCAGGTTTTTATCGGTAAAATTAGGCTTGGATCGGTAATTCATGTGACTGCCAGTCCCTGTGGACCGGCATGTTAAGTACCTTACAAATCTTTGTTGAACAAATCATCGGCAATCAAATAAGTCAGCTTGTCTAGGGTTTCCCCTTGTCTATTTCTAGTGCAAGGAAATAACATTAAGGTATATATTTGTAGCGACTTAGTCTCAAAATATCAAAAAAAGAAGAAGAGAGAATTGTGACTGAACTTTGTGTGAATGACGTGTAGATCTAACTCAGCTTCTTCAGAGATGACGTCATTGCATTGAACATGATGTTGAAGGAATTAAAACCAGGTAATTTGCATACGTTTTGTAATTTATTGAAAGTTGGGACTGACAAAAATAAGAGGGGACTGGTACTTTTTCGAGTTGCCAGTCCATCGGACTTGTAGTTTCAAAAGCCAACGGGAACACTGAATTCTATCCCCCTACTGGCTTCCACAGCAGATGTCATTTAGAGGAGATCAAAGGGATATCGCTACAATGAAATTACATCACAATGCGTTGCAGATCATACCATCAGTAATATCTCTGCCGTTAAAGCTGTTACGCTGTACTTTGTTACACTGGTTATCACTGTTTACAAACTGGAAATGTTAGTCGAAAGACTTTGGATAAAAAACAGAATTTCACCCAATAAAATCCCTCACAAGCTGTAGAGCTTTAAAGTTTCAAAGACAAGTGTTGATATATCAGATATCAAACCACACTCAGGTGAGAATCTCTATATTATTAAACATTATATTACAAGAAATGAGTGAATGAGTATTGTTTTATACCACCTTTAGCATTATTCCACAATTATTATGGTGGGGGACACCAAATTGATATGACAAAGATACGTATCTATTAATACATCAATATATCACAATACAATATATGAATTACAAGTAACAGGGCCGAAAATTTGACATATACACTGTATATGCATTATGCTCAATTACTTTTAAGAAAGAACGTAATCATGGACATAAATACAACAAAATTTGACAGAATTGACAATGGAATGGTTACCCTGTTTTTTGCCTTCATGTTTCTTTTTTTCCTTCTTTTTCTGTTTTCCTTTATCTGTTTCCTTCTTTTCCTCACTGAGTTTTTCTGGAAGACTGTTCAGGATTTCATCAGGCAAGCGAGACACAGCTTCCAACTTTATCCGCTTCAAGAACGTAAAGTTAAGTAGTATAATTGACAAAGTTCAAAGTAGCTCATAATGTCAGAGAAATATTGGTTCAGGAACAAATTTTGAAAAAAACTTAACAGGTGGGTTACGTGAAATGGGGTTTTTACTGTGTGTTCAAGTTTATTGCCCCCATATAACAGTGTGCATGCATGTGTGTGTGTGGCTGGTTGTTCTGGATAATTTTATAGTGCCAGCCAACTGAGATACCATGGGTCAGTTTTACATGGATACCCCATGAAGACAGTATTCAGACTATGAGTCCACCAGTGCCAGGCAGGGCAACAAGATGAACCATCTATTAACGTCTTATGGTTTGATGCAACCGGGGATCAAACCACTGACGCTCTGTCCAATAGGCCACAGAGGTGATTGAATAAATTAACCATTTTACAGAACCTCTAACTTACTTATGTTACCATGGTTACACTTTAAAGCTGTGTGATCATCAAAAAGGGTTGCAGAATGCCTGAAGTGTTTTCTTCGTTTGTTCTTAATGCTGCACTCCACAATAGTTCAATTACAAGACAGCAGGCTGTAAATAATCTCAATTTGGCTACACAAACCAGTGGTTGATATTGTGAGCAGGGTATGATGACATGCAATCAAAAACAAGTTACCAAGTATGACCTTCCGGTCCACTCCTCGACAAGCCATATTCCAACCAAAAGAGATGCAGGTCATAGATTTTCACCAATTTGGAAAAACGTGTAGCAGCCACATGTCCGAGTCCCTTGATGGGATGCGAACGATGGACCTTCTGATCTGATGTCGGACATGACCAAATCTTGATCTTGTGTACATGACAAGAGGTTAAGATACAAAGATGTTAATCCCGTCAGCAAGTTGACAAGGTGAGGATGTCATCTGTGGATGACTCCACACACTGCTACACACACAACAGAATAGAGCTGACACCCATGGGATCATAATCACTCTGAATCTGATCAGAGATCCTGGAACAACTTAGGGTTGCAGCATGTTGTGCCTAAATCGAAATGTTAGATCCTTCATGTAGTTTCTTGACCTCAATAAACGGACAAGCCTACCTTTTGTTCCTTAAACTTTTCATCTCTCTGTTTTCTCTTTGCTTTCAACTGGAGTTTTTCTTCTTTTATCTGTGTCATTGCCTGCCTCATCTGGGAAAGGGCTGTTGCCCGGGTCTCTGAGAAGCCCACATCCTCAGGAGCAGCATCACTGTCATCCTCGTCACTGGCAACATCATCATGGGCTAATTCCAAGTCCTCATCTGATGAACCTTCTCCAGCGGACACTGCAACCAATACTTTGTTTGTTGTTTAAAGCCACACTCAGCTAAAGTCCAGCTACTTGTTGGCTGCATGTAAATAATCTAGTCTGGACCAGACATTCCAGTAAACAATATTATGAGCAACAATCCACAACGTTGGTGTACATTGACAAGCAAGTTCATTTAAAGAGGTAAGATAGCTCACAACACTAACCCTAAGGATCATGAGGGGGTCCTTGATTGGAAAGGGGATCCTACCCTGAAGCTGGAGGCAGCAATTAGTGAGTGAGTGAGTTTGGTATTACGCCGCTTTTAGCAATATTCCAGCAATATCACGGGGGGGACACCAGAAATGGGCTTCACATGGAGGCAATTAATTAGCACTAAAAACATGCACTTACACTTGTCGGTGTTTGAATCAATAGGTGCTAATATAATGTCGACTAAGACTTGTATTTGTAAAAGTTATTTCTCCTCGGGGTCAGGGGAAGTGTTTTGCGACATAAGTATGGATCTTGTTAATTATTAAACTCATATTACAACACTAAACGGAATAAAGTAAACGGAAGGGTCATGGAGTTGTCAGCTGGTTACCGACACACAGGGATTGTACATGTTGGTAAGCGTGTGTGGGTGAGAAGATATTAAAGGCCGACGTTCACTAATTCAGAATTCTAGTTTTATTTTTACATCACTAACTATAGAAGGTAGGACAAGTTACACAGACCTTCTTCTGCTTCCACCAGATCCTCTTCGCTGTCAATTTCTTCGGTTTCCTTCGTCTCATCATCTTTTCCGATGTCTCGGAATGCCGGAGTTTCGAACTCGTCGTCTGACTCTTGCCTCTGTGTCAGTGCCCTTCTTTGTCGTGGCATATTTTGTTCTGACAACACTCACGATCCACCAAAACAACAACTACACGTGCTTCCGGTTACCGTGACGGTTTTTGGTAACGAAATGTCGTAAATAGGGTTTAGCAACAAAATAAAATGCAAGATACAATCATATATTGTTTAATGTTTCAATAATCACATACGTTAGTCACATGCTTGATGATATTGTTCTATGTGTACATTTGCACGTTACGATAATAAAAGAGGGGAGGTAACTCCTCACCACATACTCCTTTAACGGGAAAAGTCTTCTTGTTTTGCTCCTTTTGATAGCTGACTATCGAAACAAAATTTTGCTAAAAAAAAAGGTGATTTCTACCGATATCTTATGTTTCAATGAATTTTAATCTTGAAATGAGAAAAATCAAGTAAATGAGAAAAGTATGTATGAGAAATATTTTGGAGAAGTATTCTGTAAGAAACAACCTCGAATGATTGATTAGTTCTACGACATCCATGTTTTAAGAAAATAGGTTGAGACTAAGACTTCGAACAGCTGGCTGAAATTATCTCAAACTGTAAATCAATACCCACAAATGTTATTTTGATATATGCTGTTTTCTAGCATTTCCGACAGTACTTTAGTGTGACCTGTTTGTAATTTGATTATTGCCTTGTCGATTCTTTTGGTTTTATGATAGATTTTTTTTTTTGGAGTGGCTTTTGTAGCATGTGTATTAGTTTGCATTTTGATTTAGTAGTATTTTTAATTTCGTTTTTGTACATTGGAATGTTGATGCTTACTTCTTCCAATTTAAGTGCTGATTTAGCTGCTTTGTCGGCATGTTACCAAACTATTTCAATGTCTTTGTCTAGTTTACGGAGTTCTTAAGTATGTGAAGTATAATAGTTTTGGACCTTTTTTGTGTTTTTGTTTCTTATAGCCTGGAGCCCAATTAATGAGTCGGTTTCTTTATTTAGTTTGGTGGAGAGAGATATGTCGATTTGGGGAATGAAAGAGTTGTTTGGTGCTGTGTTTAGTTTTAGAGCATTTAGGTTGTGGGTATTTAAGTAGTTTTGTAATCTTAAAAGCGACGTTAAATCTCTTACGACAAGCATAGTCACCTTTTACAGCAAGCATGGGTTGCTAAAGACCTATTCCATCCCGGATCTTCACGGGTGGGTAGTAGAGGCAGATGATGTAGTAGTAGTGATGATACTGGTTGTTGTAGTAGTAATAGTAGTGGTGGTGGACGTCGTCGTTGTGGCGGTGGTGTAGTAGTAGTAGTAGTAGCGACGGTAGTAGTACATCATTCTATCAGCAGCTGGTTTGACTGTTCAGATTACTGACAGTCCACAATGAAAGTGGGAGACTTACGTGAAAATTTCCTAAACACAGAAACGTATGAATTACACAGGATAACAGTGTGTGTGCCACATGTTGGATTAGGGGCGGTCGGGTAGCCTAGTGGTTAAAGCGTTCGCTCGTCACGCTGAAGACCCGGGTACGATTCCCGACATGGGTACAATGTGTGAAGCCCATTTCTGGTGTCCCCCGCCGTGATATTGCTGGAATATGTCTAAAAGCGGCGTAAAACCATACTCAATCACTCACTCACTCACTCACTCACTCACATGTTGAATTATATAACGCTAAACGACCCATTTACGCTATTCTCTACACACAACACAAATGAAACACATGTATGTGACATTTAATTATGAACAGTTCGTGGTAACATTCATGCGGTAGATCTCTCAATATATGTCAAAAGATAAGGCTCTATACTCACAGGACCCGTGAAGATCCGGGGTAGAATAGGTCTTCAGCAACCCATGTTCGCCCGAAAAGGCGCCTATGCTTGTCGTAAAAGGCGACTAACGGGATCAGGTGGTCAGGCTCGCTGACTTGGTTGATGCAAGTCATCGATCCCAATTTCCTGGATCGATGCTCATGATATCAATCACTGCATTGTCTGGTCCAGACTCGATTATTTACAGACCGCCGTCATATAGCTGGAATATTGCTGAGTGCGGCGTAAAACAACAAACCAACCAACAACCAACCTTAATGCTGAGCGCCAGACAAGGTAACAACAAGTACCATCTTGTAACGCCTTTTGGTATGACCCCGCCTGGGATCGAACTCCGGACATACGCTCTACCACTAGACCACGGAGGCGGTCCACCAATATGAGGAATGGAACCGGTCTTCGGCTGGCCGAGCGAATGCTTTATCCCATAGGTTACACACACACACACACACACACACCCGACCCCCCCCCCCCCCCCCCCCCTTCAAGTTAAAGTGGTTGCTTGTAAGGATCCCTGTCAAATCAAATAAAGAAGTTTGTATCAATCAGGTTATTTCTGAAAATGTGCTTTAATGAAATCCGTAACGTGATGATAAAGTTTACTTATATGACATGCATGCCAATGAGGAAAAGCTTGAAAAGTACAACTATTCTAACAATTCTGACTGAATATTGCAGCGATAGTGTGTGGACAATGGACGTTGAAACATGGATAATGATCAAGAATGATCAACTTATAAATTAAATAATATTATTGGTAAAATGTTGTGTGTGCGATGTTTTTACACGATGTTGATTTCCATTGTCTGGCTGATGTCCCATGAAATGTGCAAGGATTGTCACTCGAGTAGAGCACGTTCGACATGTCCATGCAGAGCTTCGTTGCATAACATTGTCAGATAGGCCGGGAGGTTGGTGACGTCTCCCCATTGTTTCAAGGCGCTTGCGACATGGCTGTATGCTTGAGCTTCACGAGAATAAATCAACGTACACGCTTTCAGTTGCTTGACACTGAACACCCCAATAGTCCCTGGGCACGTGCTTGCTGGTTTGACTGTGGGAGCAACCATCTTATTGTCGGGGAGGGGGGAGGTGGGGAATGGGGGGGGGGTATTTTCTAAAATGAGACTCAATCCCCTGCTGTATTTAAAACAGTTATATGCCTTTTTCTTACAGAAAGTGGGTATTGTATTATCGAGGAGTCAAATGTCTGTGTAAAATCAACTAATCTCAAACCTTAATCAAGCTCCTCCACCACCCGAACCACCCCAACCCCACCCCCTTGAAATCAAATGGATGCTCCTTCGGGTTGGAGTATAAAACATGGATACTTCCACAGTCGCATCGCGCATCTCGTTTAACGATCTCTGCACACCTCCATACTTCTATACTACTACCGCTTATTTCCACTGATTTGTTCATCATGTTCTCTTTTTTCAATTCCCTTGGATTGGCCCCGCAGGTCTCTCAGACCGGACCCCAGGCACCTCCGGCGACCCAGGGAACCTCCCAGGCACCTCCGGCGACCCAGGGAACCTCCCAGGCACCTCCGGCGACCCAGGGCACCTCCCAGGCACCTCCGGCGACCCAGGGCACCTCCCAGGCACCCCAAGCGTCCCAGGGCACCTCCCAGGCACCCCAAGCGTCCGAACAGCATGCGGACCAGACGCCAACATCCAGCATGTCGTCGACCTCTTCGACGCCATTCGCCACCCCGATGACGACGACACCGGCAGCACGGAGGAGATCAGCAGTGCCAGGCCGTCGGGGGGCGACACCAATGAATGTGAGTAAATAGTAAATAGTTGTAGTTTAATATGTCTGCTTCAACTAGTTTTATACATGCCTACTCCGTCTTACTCCTATGCTAGTTTTACATATCAGTCTGTGATATTCTAGTTATTTTAATGTACATTCATTCACTCACTTATTCCTATGTACATACGCCTTGAATACATAGGTGAAGCATTATAACTGCAATAGGCTGACATCTTACATTTGTTGTGTGGCAGCTTGTCGAGACCGAGCTCCGCCAGCTCCGCGAGGAGAACCGGCGACTCAAGGAAGAGAACCGGCAGGCAATGGAGGAGAACCGGCGACTCAGGGAGGCGAACCGGCGACTCAGGGAAGAGAACCGCCAGGCAATGGAGGAGAACCGGCGACTCAGGGAGGCGAACCGGCGACTCAAGGGGGAGAACCGCCAGGCAATGGAGGAGGTTGAACAGGCAACGGTCGAGGTTCGCCAGGCTAAGGAGGACATTAGGAAGGTGAAGGAGGAGAACAGGCGACTGAAGGTAATTGTTAGTGAGACACAAGAATGAATTCAGGTTTAACACCAATGTGAACATCATAACAGTCTTGTGGTGGCGTGACACCTTGATGTTGACACAGGCCGCACCTGCAGTGTTGGAGCTACGTCTTCTGTCTGCACAATGATGTAATCGAGTCTCTGAGATAACTCTTCGACTGTTTATATAACTACTAGCTCATCAATTCGTATTCCAGTCTACATGTACTTAGGAAATGAGCTAGGGCAAAATGAAGGGTTTCATATTCAGTTCAGAACTCACATTGGTGACTAAGCGTTGTTTTATTGTCAGGGCTTTTGCTAGTTACTGTTAAATATAAATTTCCCTGAAGAAACAAGGCATGTTTTGGGGTCGGTAACAGGCATGGAAAACATATGTTTGGGCCACCTGAGTTTGTCCAGGCACGCTACACAATATACATAACGAGCACGTGCACTGTCTGTATACATGCATGTACACACCTACATAATGTCAACTCTTTCATTTCTTCTTAGGGATTCTTGTCGACAGCAACATCGTCAGCATCCGCTTCTACCTCGGCACCCTCCGCTTCTACCTCGGCACCCTCCGCTTCTACATCGGCACCCTCCGCTTCTACATCGGCACCCTCCGCTTCTACATCGGCACCCTCCGCTTCTACATCGGCACCCTCCGCTTCTACATCGGCACCCTCCGCTTCTACATCGGCACCATCCGCTTCTACATCGGCACCATCCGCTTCAGCTGTACGAGTGACGGGAGTAACTCTAGGCACTTTGGCGACACAGACGGTTCCAACTGTGAGTATACTATGTAGTTAATTATCATTGATAGTTTTAGATTCATCTTGACATGTATCCTAAGATGCCTGAATTAATCGTCCTTGACATTGTTAAAGGACCTCAATTTAGGGCTTAGCTTCACCATCGCGTTTTCTTCCTCCCCTGAGCTTTTCAGTTAAACCTCGTATTCAACACTCCTGTGCATAGCAACACAATGTTCCACTAAAACATCTGGTAATTCCGGGATAGAATGGCCCACAGCAACATATACTGTTCGTTAGGGGCGACTTAGTGGATCGGGGGATCAGGCTAGGTGACTTTGTGGATCGGGGGATCAGGCTGGGCGACTAAGTGGATCGGGGGATCAGGCTTGGTGACTTTGTGGATCGGGGCATCAGGCTAGGTGACTTTGTGGATCGGGGGATCAGGCTAGGTGACTTTGTGGATCGGGGCATCAAGCTAGGTGACTTTGTGGATCGGGGCATCAGGCTGGGTGACTTAGTGGATCGGGGGATCAGGCTAGGTGACTTAATTGATTTCCTGAATCGTACCTCGACGCCGTGGATCGATGCTCGCAATATCGATCACATGGTCATGATTTTGTACATTTGATCTGTTTGTTTTTTTAACGCCACACTCAGCAATATTCCAGCCACACGAGACCCTAGCATGGTGATCTACCTTCGGTTGTTGACGATGTTTAGAACTTTTTTATATTGTATTATTACATATATTGATATCTGTTTATGGTTGTATGCTAGTTTTATATATTTATCTGTGATATTCTATTGATCTTACTGTCCATCGATGACAGGTTTTTAGATGTGACGTTCAATATTAACTCACTCACTACAGTCACATGACGGCGATCTGTAAATACTAGAGAGGCGACTAACAGGATCGGGTTGTCAAGCCCACTGACTTGGTTGATGCCTGTCCTCGTATCCCAATTGAGTTGATCGATGCTCATGATGTCAATCACAAGACTGTCAAGACTGTTCACAGATCGCCGTCACATAGTTGCAGTATATAGTACAGACAGTTCAATAATTTATATAAATACAACAAACAAACAGTTATTTCGTCTTTAGAATAGTATAATTGTATCTTATATCTCATAATTGGGTATTTCTTCTCTCAGAATCATGCTGCCAACAATAGACGCGATCAACGTCACAGACAGAGGAATGTAAATATGATTCGTCAACAGCAACAGCAACAGCAGCAACAGCGTCAACAGGAAAGACGGATGGAGCAGCAGAGGCAGGCTCGCGAACAGCAGAGACAACAGCAGCAGCAACAGCAACAACCGTACCAGGCTCTGATGCGTGTTTTAGATGAGGCGCAAAGGACTTCGGTGAGATTTCGTTTCATCTCTTGTTAATTGACATGATATTAGGAGACTGATTTCCATACCCAACGATTATAGAAGTACTGGTTTGACCAGCAGCGACTTGCATTTTGCCGTACCTCCTTAATGCAACTGCATCAGAGGACAATAGTCCGTTAGGGTGTTTCATTGTCACATTCGGGGGCATGGGTGGCCCAGTCATCTAAGGCGCCGCAATTCGCTCTGCAGAAGCGGCGGTAAAATCATAAAATGTTGTGAGTCGATCTGACTAGCGTAGCTGGCTACCACGAGACGCTCGTCCAACTGTAAGCTGATTCCTGACCATAATACCGAGATATAGACACTTCTATTCAGTGTCAAGTCAAAGACGTTAATTGTATCAAAGGCCATAGGCCCATATACAAGTTCAGATAAATACAGTGGGTGAGAATTTACACATTGGGAGATACAACAAAAATTATATAAATATAACATTCATTTAACAATCGGTGATAATCATGAGGACTTTCTAGGGTGAGGTAATTAAAATTATGAATTTCCACTCAACATGTTATTTCGTAGTTCCATCCCATGTTTTACAAATAAAGACAGTTTAAACATTACATCGGCATCATTCGATGACAAAATAGAAACAAACGCTATTCTACTCGTCTTAGATAAGAAACATTCTGGTATATATTTAGTACGTGATTCTGCATAATAAGGACATTCAAAGGTAAAATGTATTTCGTCTTCTATTGCAGAGTTACAGAATGGACAAATTCTTTGTATTCTTTCAAGTGATATATTCCGTCCATAGTTGATCATAAGTTTTGACAAGCCAAGTCTGTATTTAATATATCCATTTCTTAGGTGACTATTTGTTAAAACTGATAGATATTTTTCTGGCTCTAATAGAGTCTTAAATGTTCTGTACAAATCATAACGTGAACTGTTTTCCAAGTTGGAATGCCACCCTTGATAGAACATATTTATTGCTATTTTACGAAAATCATTTAGAAATAAATGTTGATCACCAACAGATTGGTTAAGCCATATATACCCATATCCATGTGAGAATAATAGTGTCCTAATATGCCATACCCATGTAACCTTACCGATACTATCTAAATGAAAGAGCATGTTATAAGCTTTTTTCGGAAGCCGATGTTCTGGCATACGGATGATATTAAAGCAATATTTTAAACAATCTTCCACATTCTCCATATATCATATTATTTGGTGTTGCTATTCCAACGCGAAGAAACTTTTTACATGCCAGTAGGTGAATTCTTTCTAAACATTCATATCTTCGGTAACCCCACACTTCAGATCCATACAATAAAATTGGCTGTATTTGAGTATCAAATAATTTGAAAAATACTTTTGGAGTAATAACTCCAAGTTTAATTGAAACAGACATTATATTAAGTAAAGCTCGTTTCCCTCGCAGTGATAAGTCAGATACACATTTGTTCATATTTAGTGTTGAATTAAACATTATGCCGAGATACTTATAACCATTAACTACATTAATTTGTTGTCCATTTAAGTACCATCTTTCCCTAAAATTTAAATTGTAAATTGTCTTTGTTCCAAAATACCTGCAAAAAGCGTGACTATGCATAAGATTTACAATTTGGTATTTCTTGTCTCTACATACAGAAATAGACAGACGTTTCTTTTAATAGCAATGATATAAATAATAGTTTTAATTGTATGATATTGATTGATTTTACAATGAACTTGATACATACATACATCTTTCATCGTATATGGTATTTCCATACCTGCAAGTCTCAACAGCAAGCTTGAAATTGCAACATCAGCATCTAGGACGATCTTCTCTCAAATGTTGTATTAATATACTTGAACAATACTCCCTCACTTTCTACAATAGCAACATCATCGATACGTGATTAGTATCGTAAATATATATCTTTAACGGTGGCTGTTCCCTAGAACTTGGTCTCACTTTAATCCGATACTTCACCATAACACTGATATACTCCGACAATAAACCCCAACTCACTGTCCTGTGAACATGCTTGCCATGAAAGGCGACTAACGGGATCGGGTGGTCAGGCTCAGTAACATCGTGTCATCGTATCCCAATTGATGTTCATGGTCAATCACTGTATTGTCTGTTCCAGACTCCATTATATAGAGACCTATTGCTGAGCGCAGCGTTAAATCACAAACCGACAGACACAATAGGAACGTGATAAATGATTTGTATCGTTTATATATATATTCCTAGTAAGTGGGACTGTATCCTTTGAGTAAGGGTCTAAGTATTGTTTGTTTCATTACAGAGAAGGGGACGCGTCCGCAAGCCTGCCGGTGCTCTGCAGATGACCCTGGGAGGAGGCATCACCAGTAAGTTGACCCAATGTGTCGAGATGTATCATTTACAAAGGGAGTTCTGGTGTCCCCCGTCGTGATATTGCTGGAATATTGCTCAAAGCGGCGTAAAACCATACTCACTCACTCACTACAAAGGGAGTCAACACATTGACCTATTCTACGTGGGTTGACCTAGTTTCTCAACTATTGTTACGTTATCCCACGTATTGTGCCCATTCTTGTCCCAATCTCTGATATTGGTGGAATAATGATATACAGTCACCCACTCACATTTAGTCCCTTCAACATCCGGGTCAGACGTGATCTTCAGCAACCCATACTTGTTACAGGCATCTAACGGGATCGGGTGGCCAGGCTCGTAACTTAGTTGATGCATGTCATTGTATTCAAATAGCGTGGATCGATGTTCGGCACTGAGGCAACTTCTCTTGAAATTGTGAAATTTGCGGACAGGATTGATATGTTTCGGAAATTGGTGTTAGTAGATGGTTGCAGAAGTTAGTTTGTTTGTTGCTTGCCGCACTCAGCAATATTCCAGCTATATGACGGCGGTCTGTAAATAATCGAGACTAGACCAGACAATCCAGTGATTGACATGAACATCGATCCCGATCCCGTTACTCACCTCTTACGACGAGCATAGTCGCCTTTCACAGCAAGCATGTTGTTGCAGAAGTAGATTAGTGTGTATCTTGGTCCAAGAAGAGGTGTTTCCACCCTGTTTAAATGTTATGTTTCTAAATATGTTGACGAACATCTCCTTACTACTTCAGACATCGTAACCAGAGACCAGGTAGCTTTCATCAGGAAGAGGCAACGATAATTGACATCCCAAAATGCGGTAAGTTAAACTATAGTTAATTAATTCTTGAGGGCAAACATTTTCCAGTCATTATGGGAACATTTAGCGAGCATTGGCCCCACCCACTAAACCAACATTCTTCTATATGCTCTGGGGGTGACCCAGGGCAGAATAGGTAACCCGTACCTTATGGTTGTTGAATACAATTAGGGCCAGTCACATGTGTGATTGTACTCCCGTTGATCATTCTACAACCCCATCAACCAGTTTGCTTGTCAGTCAAATGTTAGCTGTTATATTGCTGCCTGGGGCGTTCTACAACATTCACCTCCTCACCTTTCCACAGCAATGGTGACTCTGCCCAAAGTTGTGAATTCTGAGACCTGCATCAATTCTGGCTTTCCTCCAACATCAAACTGTTCTGTTCTCTATGAAAATACATCGACATATATTACATGGATTAACTGTTCGGCACTGAGGCAACCTCTCTTTAAATTGTAAAATTGGTATTGGGAGATGATTAGTCGATTAGTAGATTAGTGCGTATCTTGGTCAATGAATAGGTGTTTCCACCCTGGTGTTTAAATGGTATGTTTCTCCTTACCACTGCAGGCATCGTAATCAACAACCAGGCTTCGTTCATCCGGCAGTGATAGATGTCCACCCTCGGTGGCCACAAGCTGTCATTGGCGACAAGGTTAATCTGGTGTTACATCCTTAAATGCGGTAAGTTAAACTATAGTTATAAACGAATTATTTATTCTCTTGGAATCAATTCTTTTAGAGCAAACTTTTTTCCCGTCAATTTGAAACAAGATTGATTTTCTGCTTTATAGTGGTTATGTTAGTGCATACATTCTCGATACTCGTCCGTCCACTAAAAACTTACAAAAGTGATCTGATCGTCATGTGTGTTTATTGAATATTGAATAATTCTGAAATATTGTTTCTTCAGGTGTGGGGACATGTTACCTTCTACAACACCTGCCAGTTACGCCGCTTCATGTGCAGGAATTGACAACCTCTGATACACTCGATATCAATATATCTTATCCATAAACTATTCAAAACATTCTATCAATCTTGACAACTGGCATTTTCCAAAGATGCCAACTTAACATGTTGGAATTATCAGGATCTGCTTTGTATGTTTCAAACTTGGTACAACGTCCTGCTTTTGACACTATCGTCCTCCTACAAGTCCCGGATGTTGTCCATGGGTACCTCCTGATGACTCGGCAGCTCTGAGGTGTTAAGGGGTGTTTCATATTTCATGGCTCACATTTCTACCTGAAACACCCGCTAACACCTTCTAGTTGAACGATGACTCGGTCGCATTCACAAACATTTTCTCGGGTAATTTGTATTTGGACAACGTCAGTCAGGGTTTTAATACCAGCATTGAAATGAGCATGTCAGATCTTACTGGTTGCGTCACCTCAACAAAATATTTCAGTTTGTTTTCTTGATACACTGAGTTGAAGACGTCTCTTCCTTATCATGTGCGGTGCTATGGTAGGATGTTGGCAGTATCAGTCTACAGCCAAGATGGATGTTTGTTGAACAGAACTAAGTGACAAGGTAAGTTTCAAACTGCGTTGACGGTTGAAATGTGTCCCTAACTTTATAGACAGGCCGTTCCAAATAACTTAAAGGGCAAGTTCACACGGAAATGAACCTAATTTTCTTGTACTTTTTCCACAATAAAAGTGTTAACCTAGAAGTGTCATAGACAAAAATATAAAAATATCACAATTAATTAACATATGTTTTGCATTAAAACGATTGATATTTTTCACATTTACCAAGTGTTCTATTTCCATAACAAAAACACCATGGCTTATGCCCCTTGCAATATGACGTCATTGGTGCCAATTGATAAACATTATGACGTCATCATGCTTTGTTAGAGCCGCTTCATGTGGTGTAGGTACAGGTGTATGATTCTAGCGTCTCAGATGCCAGCCAGCATAGTGTTATGCTGAGTCACCACTGCGCCGGAGTGTCTTAGGCCATGTTGTTTCACCGAAAACTTGTACTTGATATCTTTTGCGTTCAGAATAGACAGGGACCAAGTTGAATTGGCACCAATTACGTCATAATCTAAGGGGGATAACTCAGGCCTGTTTAGCGCGAAAAACGAAGGCCTCATAACGGCATATCATTTTCACACTATTGTGAGCTTCCTACTTTCCCTGTGAAAGAAATGAGTTTATATTTTCAAACACAGATACTAACTAATTCTAAAATTGCGTTTTGTTTAGAAAAAGAAAGAAAGTGATTTTTGCGTGTACACTTCCCCTTTAAGACATTCAGAACTCCCAGACTTAGAGAACACCGCGATTGTAAATTCAATTCTATTCACAACCGTCTACTCCGCTCTAGTCTATGGTGAGTACTAGTATATGAACGCTGGATCCATGCAATTTAACTGGATACTTTATATTCACAATGAAGAACGGAAACGTCCCCTGACGCCACTCGATTGCACCTAAAGCAGTGGGCAGATAATATCAATAAGTAAAAATAGAGGTTATCACGCGAGTATATTTTTGGATAATAAATATCCTGTATTGGGAACCGACATTGCATTTAGCGAGTTTGGACCTCCCCCACTCACCAACAGGGTTCTTCTATATGCTCTCGAGGTGACCCAGGGCAGAATAGATAACCCCGTACCTTATGGTTGTTGAATACAATTAGGGCGAGTCACATGTGTGATTGTACTTACGTTGATCATTCTACAATCCCATCGACCAATGTTCGCTTGTCAGTCACATGTTAGCTGTAACATTGCTGACTGCGGCGTTCTACAACATTCACCCCCTCCCCTTTCCACATGCAATGGTGACTCTGCCACCCTGAGATGTTCCAGAAACTCCAATTCAATACACCTCGTCAAAGAGGAACAGGTCTGACGCATATGTGTAAAGACCAAGCACAATAACATTTGTTGACATACAATACTTGTCAAATAGAAAACTCAATGTATATCGAGTGTGGCCAGGGAATTCTTTGAATAGCTTGTTTGACAAACTAGTCAACCAGAATAAGATTAATAAGATTTTTTAAACATTAATTTATTTTCTAAAGGTTGTGTCCAGCCTCAGTCGCCACCAGCCTCCGTTGCCTCCTGCCACCAGCCTCCGTTGCCACCTGCCACCAGCCCTCCGTTGCCACCTGCCACCAGCCCTCCGTTGTCACCTGCCACCAGCCTCTGTTGCCTCCTGCCACCAGCCTCTGTTGCCACCTGCCACCAGCCTCTGTTGCCTCCTGCCACCAGCCTCCGTTGCCACCTGCCACCAGCCTCCGTTGCCACCTGCCACCAGTCTCCGTTGCCACCTGCCACCAGCCTCTGTTGCCTCCTGCCACCAGCCTCTGTTGCCTCCTGCCACCAGCCTCCGTTGCCACCTGCCACCAGCCTCTGTTGCCACCTGGCACCAGCCTCCGTTGCTACCTGCCACCAGCCTCTGTTGCCTCCTGCCACCAGCCTCTGTTGCCACCTGCCACCAGCCTCCGTTGCCTCCTGCCACCAGCCTCCGTTGCCTCCTGCCACCAGCCTCCGTTGCCTCCTGCCTTGCTTACCACCTGCCTTGGTTTCCTCCCGCTCAGTTGCCACCTGCCACTAGCCTCTGTTGCCACCTGCCACCAGCCTCTGTTGCCACCTGCCACCAGCCTCGGTTGCCACCTGCCTTGCTTACCACCTGCCTTGGTTTCCTCCTGCCTCAGTTGCCACCTGCCACTAGCCTCGATTACCACCTGGCACCAGCCTCGGTTACCACCTGCCACTAGCCTCAGTTGCCACCTGCCACTAGCCTCAGTTGCCACCTGCCACCAGCCTCAGTTACCACCTGACACCTGACACCTGGCACCAGCCTCGGTTGCCACCTGCCACCAGCCTCCGTTGCCACCTGCCACCAGCCTCGGTTGCCACCTGGCACCAGCCTCGGTTACCACCTGGCACCAGCCTCGGTTACCACCTGCCACTAGCCTCCGCTGCCACCAGCCTCGGTTGCCACCTGCCATCAGCCTCAGTTGCCACCTGACACCTGGCACCAGCCTCAATTGCCACCTGCATCAACCTCCACCTGCCTCAGGTACATCACCTGACATACTTGTCAGACTCTCTTACCAAACTAATCCGGACCAGCCAACATATCCAGCTGTCCATGGTCTCACCGTAAACAAAGTCAGTTTCTAAAGTAGATTCTTGATGGCAAGTAATACATGTTCTTATCCTGGTGCTTGTTAATTGCCTCTTTCATATATGTTAACGAAATTCTTCTCATCACTTTAGGTGTCGTTCCGACTGACCAGAACGCATCCTGTCACCTTGCCAGGCGTAGTTGCCGTCCATCCTCAGTTTACACCAACCTCATCCTCCAGCCGCCTCACCGTCAACAATCCAACGGTCACCGACTTCTTCACGCCATCTGGTGTTACCTCCTAAGATGCAGTAAGTAAAACAGAAGCTGTAAAGGAATCATTTATACTGTAGGAATTAATTCTTAATGTATATAGATACAGTTGTCATATTAGTGCATGTAATTCCTACATTATTTGTCCGGCTTCAAAAAATGCCACACGTATGTGAATTGATCGTCATGTTTGTTTAAAAAAGTGATTGAATAATTCTGAAATTAACAAAATATTGTTTTTCTTCAGGTGTGGTGACAGCTACCCTCTCCAACAACCGCCAATTACACCGCATGTGCAGGAATTGACACCCTCTGATACACTCTATATCCATGTATCTTATTACTGAATCATTTCATTTCATCAATCTTCACATAACCAGGAAGATCCAAAGATGCCAACTTAACATGTTGGAATTATCAATATCTGTTTTGTATGTTTAAAACTTGGTACAACATCCTGCTTTTGACACGTTCGTCCACTTACAAGTCCCTGAAGTTTTCCATGTGTACCATCTGATGACTCGGCAGCTCTGAGGTGTTGAGGGGTGTTTCATGTCTCATGGCTCAGTTTCTGCCTGAAATACCCGCTAACACCTTCTAGTTGAACGATGACTCGGTTGTATTCACAAACATTTTCTAGGGTAATTGTATTTGGTCAACGTCTTTAGGGGATTGTTGTGAAAGATTTTAATACAGGAAGTATGTATCTTCCGAGAACGCATTTGGTTAAAACGTCACCTCAACAAAATATTTCGGTTGACATTCATGATACATTGAGAATATTCCCAATCATGTGCGGTGTAAGGAAGGATGTTGGCAGTATCTACCACTGACGTCTATGGATGTTGAACAGAACTAAGTGATAAGGTAAGTTCCAAACTGCGCTTATTTGATGGTTACAAATGATTAGACTCACTTATAGACAGACTGTTCCAAACAACTTCCTACCTATCTTTCCCTTTGGTCAATTCAGTTCTAAGTTCGTGTTCAGGTATATGAGAAATGACATCTGATCACAATCTCAACGTTTACAGGCACCCTTGACGCAGCTGTACACAGCCCCGCCAACCACACCCGTCTACCACACCCGTCTACCACATCCGTCTCCTTCAACTGTCACCGCTCTTAATCTATGGTGAGTGTATGAACGCTCGGTCGCTGCAGTTTATATGTACAGTAAAGTTCGGTTATAACGAACTCAAGGGGACTACTCATTTTAGTTCGTTATAACCGTAGTTTACTGTATTATTGATTGTATACCAGTTGTAGTTGCGCACCACAGTATGGAAGCATGTTAGTACCAGTCTCCAAACATATTACCTTTACACTTCGTCTACGTATGCGATGTTATATATTATATATACGTTTCGTTACTCAGACAGTGATATGGTCTTGTGAAGTTTCGACCCTAGTTGGACACCAGTTTATACAAACCTTTATGTTAAGCTGATTACTAATTAAATGTTTGGCAGCGTGGCCTTTCCATATTTGTATAACATACCCGGATCATTTCAAATTGTCAAACAATCGGCTCTGAAATAAAAACACAGAAACTGCAGAATTATACTTTCCATGCTTCATTGGATGATGACGGGTATTGGTTTGAAAAAGTTTTTTTTATATTTTTATATTTTTTTAATTCTCATGCTTTCATATTCACGTTTTACCTCCTAAACCTATTTTCCGTAATCGAGAAATTGTGACATGACTCCGCTAAAGGTTTGAGTAGATAATAGTAGATAATATTATTTATCATATAATTTATCATATAATGGGTAGGTTTCTCGGCAGGATAAAGCCAACGGATAAAAACGATATCCGTTTGGGTCATATGCGGATAGATGCAAATATCAAAGGTCAAGTAGGGACTACTTTCATTGTTTATAAACAAACATGGCGTCGCACTTGTCATTCGGCGATCAAGTCAGAATTAACCATCGTGAATCTGAATAACCTACAGGGATAATTGCGACGTATCTAAGGCATTTTATAAGTTTTGGCAATTTTGGAGACTATTTTGCGAGGGCACTAGGCCTAGCCAAGCGGGATATGTGTGCTTGTACACCTCTCCGGCTTAAAACCTTCTCCACAAATGGTTGGATTTAGGCGAAATATGTATGATTTGTTACCTTGTTTCGTTTTGGTGCTACATCTGACTGAACTTCTTCACGTTATGATAGAACAGGCCAACTGTTGATAATAGACATGAAGATATGCACATGCATGTTTAACCATCCCCCATCTGTGTTCATATACAACGAATGTATCTATCTCTCCAACAGGCATTTCCCCCGAATATCAATGGACTAGTGTGGACCAAGCTTCTGTCCTCCACGATGTTTCTGAACTCTCAAGGAGTGAAGTGTCCCAACAGCCATGCTGCTCCAATATCTGCGGTTGTCACCCTAAAGTCTACAACACGACAATCTGTATAGTCATAGTTACAAAGGATGCTGACAACATCAGATATCAGTTGATACAGTTAACTCAGTCTTCAATTCAAATCCCTTCTCCTAGATCAGTTATAATTGTCTTTCAACGTCACCTGTTTTGGGGTACAACGTGATTCTTACTTCCCTGTTCTATTACCACTTACTCCAAAGCCGTCATATGAAATTTATTTTGGTCTCTATCGGGGTGATGGATATATACAGGTGTAGTTGAGCCATGCTGCCCTGGATATATACATCTGAATACAAATAAGTACAGATCAAACGTTTCAAATTTCAAAAGTTTATAGTTGAGGATACACACAGGTTGCCGCGATGATTCAAATTCTGTCTGCATTTGTCATCTTAATTTGTAAACTTTCTTTTGGCCTTTCGTGAGAATGGATATATACAGATGTGGTTGAGCCATGCTGCTCTGGATGTATTCATTTGATACCTTCTAAACAAGCAGTCTTCAAAGTACAAACAGGGATATCATATCAAATCATAATTAAACTGTACAAACAATTCAAAAAGTCAATCGAAAAGTTGATCTGGGTCACATTTGATCTTGTCATTCCAGTGATATTAATGACGAAAAATATTTCATATCTATAGCCAAACATTCAATAAGTATAAACGTTTTACCTTGAGGTGACATCCTCGTTGAAGTGATTGAAGGGTTAGGTTCGATTGTTAACATGTCACGGTGTCTGATTTTCTGATATTCTTAATATACAGCTAAAAGCACCAAAAGCCACAAAACCTTGATAAAACATGTATATATTTCTATATATTTTTCATGCTCCTTTCATTGTAACATGGGGGCACGGGTGGCCCAGTCGTCTTAGGCGCCGCGATTCGCTGTGCAGAGTTGCGTCCCTTGGGCACGCCAGAAACCTATGATTGTGGGTTCGAATCCCGGTTCGCCCCGATTATGTGTCTAGGTTGGTCAGCACCATACCCGTGCGTTAAACCCAACTCACTCACTCATTGTAACATTGGCTGTTTAAATGTGTGATTATTTGGTGCTTTCCCTCATGACATTTGTAAATTTGTTTTTAATAAAGTTTTAAACTCGGCTATATCATGTTGTCACCTGTTTACTATTTGCTGCAACGTCTCGTGCCTGAAACCCTGAGCGTGGGTTCGAATCCCAGATCCCAATTTGTAATCACCACGCTCTGACTGTTTTACCAATGCTAAAAGTGTACGACCTGCATCATTTCAGGCTGACACGCCGTGAAATGACTGGAATACTGTTCAACACTGCGTTAACCTCCTAAATGGGGTCCCTGACTATAATGGAGAGTGGTTTTCATTTATAACAGTCAGTGTAACAAGAATCACAGATAACAGGCTTTTATATGATATTCAGAAACACGTGTTACATGATGTGTGACAGTTAATGTTGAATGCCGTCTGAATTCTTCGTGACCAACTCGCGCCATTCTGGCACAAGCCAAATTGAGACTGGTGCCCCTCGGGGAAATGCAGAGGCATGAACACCATGCTGCTTCAAACAAGAACGATAACTCCTATTCTACCAGCGTCAAAGTTTATCGACAAAAACATGTATTTTGTTAAAGAGCACATTTATCAACCAATTCAACTCATTTATTCTAATGTTGTGCTTGCAAATTAAGATCCATTGTAAAATCTGATCGACCCGTGGCAACTGCACCTGAACTAGACAAATGCTCACACATTAGCAACATCTCCAACATCAACAACTCCTATTGTACCACCATGATTCATTCACTCCAATGGAATGTACAGTTTGGCCGCCTGCACCTTTCAGGTATTTGACGTTCATGGAGGAGTGAGTATGGTTCTAGCAATATTCCAGCAATATCGCGTCGGGGGACACCAGAAATGGGCTTCACACATTGTGTCCATATATGGAATCGAGCCCGGGTCTTCAGCCTTCTTCGTGTTTTTTCGAAGTGTCAATTTGAATCATCTGCGAATCGTTACAGCCACAGCGATTATTCGTTTACATAATTAAAACTCGCCAGAGTGAAAACATACGGCAGGGCAGGAAATCAAGCTGAAAAGTCTTCATAATGCACATGACATACCAAAGTTTTAAACGTGGCGTTCAAAGTAGCGCGTGAATAATATAAACATGACAAATAGGGGTCTAAGCCCATTGTAATCTCGATTTTAAATGAATTCTAAACAGCTTGTTGAAATTCATTTCACATGCACCGGTTCATTTGATCAAGTAAGCGTCGTATGTTTCGATCAATAGTCTGTATTACGCGCAGGAAAAACTCGTGCAACGGAAGTGTTCCCCGATTGGCTAAACTCGTAACCATGACATCACGTGACTATTCTGGTGAACACCTGCATGAAATATACAACACTTCTTACCTGATTTGACATTTGTTTATATAAGTAATCCTAACTGGCAAAGCCATTGGCGGCGGGGTTTGTCTAGCGAGGTTAAAGCGTTGACTCGTCACACCAATTCACCACATGGGTACACCACATAGAGCCGATGTTGACGCCCCTCTCCGTTATATGGCTTGGATTCCAAATTTCGCAAATGATTTTGTAATAATAAATGGTAATTTTTAGCGGTATTCATCATAATAGAATGGAGATGTAATACAGTGGATGGTCGACCATGAGTTGCATTAACATTTTAATGGATTTTAATCAAAATGATGATTATGAAATAAGAATATCAAAGAATTATGAACAATATGTATAAAGTGAGTGAGTGAGTGAATATGGTTTTACGCCGCTTTTAGCAATATTCCAGCAATATCACGGCGGCGGACACCAGAAATGGGCTTCACACATTCTACCCATGGCGGGAATCGAACCCGGGTTTTCGGCGTGACGAGCGAACGCTTTAACCACTAGGCTATTAGCCGAGTGTCAGTGGAGAGTATACCGAGTTTGTTTTTTTCATGTAATGGAAAATAATTGAAAGAACTGTTGTTAAATTTGAGGGTTAGCCTTGTGATGGGTCGTCACGCCGAATGCCCGGGTTCGATTCCCCACACGGGTACCACCCGTGTGTTGCCGTAAAAGGCGACTATGCTTGCCGTAAAAGGCGACTATGCTTGCCGTAAAAGGCGACTATGTTTGCTGTAAAAGGCGACTATGCTTGCCGTAAGAGGCGACTATACTTGTCGTAAGAGGCTGCTCATGGGATCGGGTAGTCATACTCGCTGACTTGGTTGGTGCATGTCATCGATACCAATTGTGTGGATCGATGCTCATGATATTAATCACTGGATTGTCTGGTCCAAACTCGATTACAGACCACCGTCGTACAGCTGGAATATTGCTGGGTGCGGCGTTAAACAACAAACAAACCAACCAACTGCGCTCTGAAGCCTCGCTACCACAGTGAGGCAGGGGAAGCTCTCGCGGTTGTAGGCTCCGAGCCATGTCTTGGATCCTGGAAACCCAAGTAAACATTGATGGCTCACGAGTACCCGGAGAAATCTGGCCACTGGCGGGTAGGCAGATGAGTAGAGCATAAGGTTTTTGTATATTCATGAAGCCGAGCAAAAAGTTCACCTTCTAAAACTCACTGACTATAAATCTTTTCCACAGATCAAATACATCACAATTTTAGTTAGAAATACCTTTATGACGTAATTATCATATTTCATTCCATGTTTTTCTTTAGGCAAATGGATCAACCCTGTGTGATCATTATAATCAGGATCAGGGGGTTCCACAAGGCAGTATTTTGTCTGTTACATTGTTTAGCATAAAAATAAATAGTTTATCTAAAGTATTAAATGACTCAATTGATGGGTCATTGTTTGTGGATGATTTTAATATTTCATGTCGTGGTAAAAATATGCGTACCTTTGAAAGACAGTTGCAGTTGTGTCTTAATAAAATTCAAAAATGGTGTCTTGAGAATGGATTTAAGTTCTCACAGACAAAGACTAATTGTATACATTTCTGTCAGAAATATAAAACCCATAAAAACCCAGAGCTCTCTTTAGATGGTACTCCAATTAAGGTTGTAAAAGAGGCCAAATTTCTGGGATTGACTTTCTACCACCATTTGACGTTTTTGCCACATATTAAATATTTAAAGACTAAGTGCCTGAAGGCCCTTGATTTGTTGAAAGTCGTCTCGAATTCTAAGTGGGGAGGGGATCAGACAACCCTCCTTCACTTTTATAGATCATTAATCCGCTCTAAATTAGACTATGGCTCCATTGTGTATGCTGGAGCTTGCAAGAGTAATTTAAAAAAGCTAGATTCAATCCACCATCAAGGACTTAGACTGTGCCTTGGTGCTTTTAGAACTTCTCCTGTTGACAGTCTCTATGTCGAGGCTGATGAACCTTCTTTGAAACAACGCCGTGTTAAATTGTCTCTTCAATATATCACTAAATTACACTCTAATCCTTCTAATCCTGCTTATGACTCCGTTTTTCAACCCCTATATGAAGAGCTGTTTCAGAAAAAAACAAAGCTGATTCCACCACTTGGAATTCGGATGAAATCACATATTATTGCTGCAAATATAGATCTAGATATTATCTCACCATATCGTCTCTTGTCTACTCCTCCCTGGCAGCTGTTGAGGCCAGAAGTAGACGTTTCTCTAACCCGTTTTATTAAATCTGACACAAATCAACTTATCTATCAACAGGAATATGTACAATTAAGAAATAAATATGACACCCACCGTTCAATCTTTACTGATGGATCCAAGGACGGTGGCAAGGTGGCATGTGCCACTGTCGTTGGATTAAACCATATCTCATCTAGAATACCAGACACTAGCTCTATTTTCACTGCTGAGGCCAATGCTATTCTTACAGCCTTAAAATACATTCAACGAAAGTCTGCATATAAACAATTTATCATCTTTTCTGATTCTTTGTCTTGTCTTCAGGCACTGAAAAAAGTCTCTTCTAATCATCCAATTATTTTAGATATTTTAGAACTTTATAATAATCTTTCCACTGGCCAATACGACATCGTCTTTTGTTGGTTGCCCAGTCATGTGGGCATAAAAGGCAACACAATGGCTGATGCTGCAGCAAAAGCAGCACTCAACAAATCTGTGACACCACTTCTTATCCCTTACAGTGATTATAAGCCTGTTATTAAATGTTACATCAGGGATCTCATGCAGAAGAAGTGGGACACCAAAGTAGGTATCAATAAATTACATGAAATTAAACCATCTATCGGTTACACCTACTTGGGCTGTCAGTCCAGATTTGAAGAGGTCATTATACGACGATGTCGTATTGGCCACTCACGATATACCCACGAATAT